CAATTTTTATTATGACCAAAAAGTCATAAAGGTCATATAGGTCATATTGGTCATTTAAGGTCATAACCCAACACTGTGGTTAATAAGCATGATTAATATAATTATTTAGTTAATGCTTACTCGTCACACCGATGATTCGTCACATCCTCATGCCAAATGAAAGAGGGGACATAATCCTTTACAAGTGAACCCTTTTTAATGTTTAGGGTTAGGGCAAGTGCGAGCATTGTTGTTTTTTCGTGTGAGTTATAGGAAAATTGGCTTTGCTTCGAAAGAATTTTTTCTTTTACAAACCGTACGTCTATCATGATTTTCACATGTCCGTCCTAATTTGCGTTTCCGTACCGTACTAATTTACTATATACCCATCTGACTGTAGCTGATATTATGGGATGTTGCGTACGTACGTACGTATATGGGTAGAATAATTATGCAGGTACGCACGTACGCTACGTAGGTGTTTGCTTATGCATTATACTACATATATGGTAAAAATTATATAAATATTATGGGGATATAAAATAGGAAATAAAATATAACATTATGGTATATAAAATAGGAAATAAAATATGGAAATAAACATTAATAAACATTAGTGGTACAGAAATAAATTGTTGTGCGATTGAAAAAAAATTTATTTTGTTTGTAGAGCATACATTTACATTTATGGAAGTTGCATTTAAGGGTCTGGCTGTATTATAAAATATTACAAGGCATTGAGAATTAAATATAAAAGTGGTCCATCTTCATTTGAATTATTCATTATCAAAATATTCCAAACACAATGCTCTTCAAGATGTTCACATCAATTGCTTTTATCGTGCTTGCTTTAATTAGTCATGCAATTGCTGGAAATCCTTCTGCTCTTCCAAACACGACTTATTTAACTGTTCCTGGTTATTTCAACAATAAACTATTCCATGTATATATTTTTGACATATATAAAGACACGCCTGCACCAGCAATTGCACGCGTCAACCCTATTTATGTATTTCTTAAACATCCTAAAGATAATATAGATAACATTCTACAACCAAGCATTATCGATTTAATTCCTGGTGATGATGGATATTCTGATCTTAAAAGAGTAAACATTGTAACCGGGATAGAGAATTGTCACAGTCCAATTACATCATATGATGACCTAAAGAAGCTTGGTAAAAAAGTAAAAATTTGCGAAACTGATATCTATCTCAACATTCCAGTTGGTAAGTTAATATTATATTACTTATACAGGTGACCCCGTTAATATCAACCTAAGCCACAAAACAAATTTTTATAAACTGTAATATCACTATCAACATGATTTAAAACCAATTCAAGTAGGTTGATATAACGATTTATATAAAGAAGAAAACATATAGTCGCGAAGACTAAAATGTTTATATCTCGCGATCCACTGGACCGATTTTAACGTTTTAATCGTCATTCTGATCGCAAGACACTCCTATACAACTTTACTTAGGCGTTGAAAAAGATTTACTTAGTAAAGAATTTTTTTTTTCTTTGGGAAACTCCAGATTCCAAAGACAATAGTAAATTTCCCCACTTTTTACTATGTTTTGTCACTGGTTCATAGGCGGACTACGAATTAATCTAAAAAAAACAAAGGAATTCTTCGTATGTTGTTACAAGATAAAGGAGCTTTGAATTATAATTTTACCAATAAAAAATTAACACCAGCAGTTCTATTAAAATAACAATATTCAACATTATATAATTCTATTTCATGTCCCATAACAGCAGGTTTTTTATAATATTGAAATGCTTTATATTTATTTTTTCCTGTTCCGATTCCATAATCATAACAATATCCAAGATAAAATTTCCTGTCTATATTTTCCATATCAGCAGGCTTTTTAAAATATTCAAAAGCTCTGTAATTATCACTTTGATTCCGTATAAATAACTAATGATAATAATGACTGACAATATATTGAGCATGTTGATTTAAATAACCACTTAAACAATAATTTAAAAAAATCATTTAAATTTAGATTATTATCAGTTTAATTTCGAAATATCATTAGGATCTATATTTGATCCTTTTATTTTTGTACGTATGCCAATATAGTATTATAAAATCTAATACGTATATATGTTTATGTAATAACTATTTATAAAAATACTGGATTAAAAGACCAGATCCGGCAATTGTAAATTAACCAAGATTTTTTTATTGAATTAGTTTTAAGACTTTACTAAAACGCACCTATGGTGTTTTACGCCTATTAATACGCTATCTCAAAAACTAGCTAATTAATCGGTACGAGGTGTTCTAAGTAAAAATGTTCTACGTCCTTCAAAACCCTTCCCAAATCTTAATACTAACTTAAATACTAACCATAACTGATAATGTGAAAATTTTGTGTTAAAAATTTTATATATAAAACTTAGAAAAATCTATAAAACATAATAAAAACATATGATAGGTGCCAAACCACCATAGGTGCGTTTTATAATAAATGTAATTTTAATTAATAAAATTAGTCTATTTTAACCAATAGAAATATAAATACTTTTTTAAAACTTATAAACTTAGTAACAAAATTTTAATATTATCAAAATCTATTTGATTCAGGTTTGGGTCCTGCTTATTATAGTCTATAGTCTTAAGAGCTAACTGGACCGGACTGGTCTGGTCCTAAGACTAATGCAGACTAATTTTTTCTAGTCGTAGGACTAATTGTGATCTATTAGTCTAAAACCAAACCATATAACATTGCGATGAATTTAGGAAATTTGAGTATTTGACTAAACTATGAATTGCGTCATTTACTATTGGTTTTTGACATTTCTTATTGTAAAATCATATAGATAACGTCTAATCCATCTTTTCTCGGGTAGATGGGTTAGACATTATCTATATGATTTTACAATAAGAAATGTCGAAAATAAATAGTGAATGACGCACTTCATAGTTTAGTTATATACTCAAATTTCATAATTCGCCATGATGACATCTCTATGACAAGTCTGGGCAATTTTTGACCCGTGAGACAAGTTTTGCAGATGATCTAGGAACAGCTCTTAGGGTAGTGCAGATATTTAGGGATAGTATTAGGATCGGTGAATTATTATATCACATTGATTATTGTTCATAAGAACTGTCCGTAGATTCGCCGCAATTTTTGGTCAAGAAGCTGACCCGGACGGGTCAACTCGGCTCGGGTAACAGCTCTAGACAATGATAATATGAAGGATTCAAATAATTCATAACATTTTATGATCACACTAATTCGAAAACATAGAAGTAAGCAACATCGGATTTTATACAACTCATTGTCATCAGTATAATAGTACATTGTACATAATTCGATCGATGATGTTAAGATCAAGCTTTATTGTTATACTGTAATATAAGTATTGTACATCGGAATAGAATTATTTTAGATTTAGAATCTACTTATGTTGAAGTGGAATTCCAAATCTAACTCAAGTTGATACGAAATTTAAAAACAACTTATGTTGATTCTAAATTTGATATTGGCATTGTAGTAAATGTGCAATTGATGATGTAGTGATAGTTATAATACTTCTTGTCGTTAAAATAAATGTATGAAATCGGATTAAAATGAAATGAGTGGTTTCTATTTGATAACCTAAAACTCACTTATACTTGTTTATTATAAACCTATGCCTAAATACTAATCCTAACCCTAAAAAAAAAATACTAAAAAATTCACCCCAAAGAATTTTATTTTTCGATAGCTTGTCTATTACACTATCCCTCAATAATCTGCCACAATAAATTGTCAAAATATTTAAATGCAAAATTTTGTTTATTCTTTACAACTCTTTCTATCCGATGATCAGATTTTTTTTTTTGTGTTAAACTAGCCTCTTAGGGGTTAAAATTCGTAGATTTGTATAATTTACGCATATGGACTGAAAAATGTAATGTGCAAGATTTTTTTTTAGACTCTTTCCCGTAGATCCCAATTTTATAAGTAAACAAACAAACGATCCAAAAAACGGCAAGAAGTAAATAGCACGACCATACTATAATTAAATAACTATTATTACAAAGTAACGACACAGCAACAGACAAGCTCGCTAAAATTAAACAAAAGAGAGAGACAGCTTTCTGTACTCCAGTCTCCTTTCTAACTCTGTTGCCGACTACGTCGGCAACTGACAAAAACAACAATAAAGATAACAAAAAGCGTGTAACAAGTTCTCAAGTAAAGAAGACATGACTTATACACGTTCATATAGAGAACTGTAGCCTGATGGACACACAAAACAAGAAAAGAAAGCTTAAAAACGTTGATAACACTTCAACTTCTACACCACCCACTGTTGATTACGATATCTTTGAAAAAAATCTTGGGGAAATAGCAGATTCTAGCTTACCCCCGAATGTGACAAGAATGACGTCATCATCTCAAACAACAAACCCGATCCGGGACCCATTTAGCCTGGTCCGGTCTAGTCCTCAAATTAACAGTTAAATACATTATCAGTCTTTTATGAACTAGACCGGACCAGACCGGACTATAACATCCCTAACATTACCATAGTCATAACCTAGCTATATCGCGGTTTTCTTAACTTTAATTTTGCATACAACTTTTACTTAGAAAAAACATGTTTGTTTTTACTATCACGTTACATCTGATCTTAAATTTTGATTGGCAAAATTTACATAGGTGAACAATATTTGCGGGAATGCTGCCTAAAATAACGTTTCTTCGAAGCTAGAAATGGTTTTAGGATGATTTTTTGGTAGTGAAACGTTACGTTTTCAAGAAGTACTTTAAACTATATAAATCAGTTACCATGCAATTGATTTATATCAGCCAATCACACGACTGTTCTCCCATAACCACCAAATGAGGTCCTTGCAGCACCAAGCAGGGTTCTTACACTGCTACTTCACCCGCAAAGCTTTACGTAATTTACTACGTATTACCGTTTAACCTATTAAACCAAGTGTCATTAATTATCTTAGTTGCCGAGTCACTGCAAAATGAACGATAGTAAAGAAAAAAAACGACATCTCATTACTAAACAACAACTTTTAAATGCATTGATTATCAAAAACGGTCTCTTTATCACTTTGTTAACAAGCTCTTTTGTTAAAAAAACCAGTAATGGACTAGACACTTGCAGTATTTCTAAATTTAGACACAATTGAATACACAAATACGGTGACGAAATTGAATGTAAAAAATCAAACCTGCACTTACGCCCTTTCTTATTCACTTCGGCAACACCATTGAATTGCCATATAACCATACACTTCGTGATATTCATCATTTATTCCTGATAAAACCTGAATTAATTTTTTATTGAATACAATACAAAAAGACAGAAGTTATATCGTTTAGGTTACCTTTTTGATGCAGACATAAAGTTAATTAAGGTAAAAACTATTTAATAGTAATGTGAATCAATAACGTAACCTCCTCTGACGTGAGTCTCATCCTATTATAAAATCTTTTAGTGCAACTAAAATGATATGGGGTTGAGTCAATAGAAACCAAGCAAATTTTTTTTAATGCTTTTTTTTTAAATTTTAAACAAGAATAATTTA